TTCGCCGCTGCGTGCTTGTATTTGTTTGCGGGGTCCAGCCGAGCCCAGCGTGGGCTTTGCAGAAACACCCCCAGCCGCCGACGCCGCTGGTGCTGTTCCCGCAGGTGTCCGGTAACGTCTCGATGTCGACGGCCGCCCTTCTCCCGCTCATCCCCCAGGTCTGCCACCTCCTTCGTCTGCATGGATCTCCAACCCCCCCTGCCCGCCCCGGCCACGCAAAGCCCCCCTTGCCCTGACCTCCCCCTGCCCCTACAGCTCGCCAAGATCCTCCCCGGCTCTCTGCCGCTGGAGCTGCGCGTGCGGGCGACCAGCGAGCCGATGGTGACCGTGATGGACGGAAGAGCCACCACCACCCTCAAAGCCTCCATCGACATCTTCAGTCCGTCCCTGCAGTCCTCCCAGAAGCGCCTCTTCTCCCTCGACACGGTGAGTGGGCTCCCAGGGGAGGAGACCTCTGAAACAGGGCGAGGGGTGAGTCTGGCTGTTCCCTCGGCTTGTCCTGCCCTTGGCCGCGCAGCACTTGTACTTCTGAATTCAGCACGTCTTAAGAGCAGTGGTGCCCAGTCCTTTTAACATGCTCGTAACCAAGTGCAAGTGAAATGTTTAAGGAATAATTCAAATTAAAGACAGGAAGCGTGAACCCTGGGGAGAGATGCCATCCGTCAAAAAAAATGCACTTTTTAGGCATAGACAGGTATTTTTTCTTGGAACAGGTTATTTACAAATACTCTGGGTTTTCTTTTCTTGGGAGCTACTCAGGGAAATAACCTCATATCTTCTGTTGTTCCAATTTCAGGACATCGTTCTGAACGTCATGCCGTCAGTCTCCGACGGCAAACTGCGAACCTCCCTGGCTCTCAACAGGTAGAGCCGAGCTTTGCGGGGCTGCGGGCAGGGAGGGGGCTCTGCCTGCGGACGTTCCCCGACAAGCCCGACAAGATGGGGCTGGTGGCAGCGGTCAGGCAGTGCGGTGTAGACATGGTGGAGTTGTAAAGGGCTGCCAGAGCTTTCCTGCCTCCTCCCAGCCCCAACCTCAGACCAAGTGCATGTCTGAAGTGGTGAGACAGTTGTAAAAAAGTTGCCCTGTTTTCAAAATCCTTGTATCTTTATGTGGGTGACACAAATTCCAGACCAAGAAAGGGCCTGAGCAGCATTTGGAAAGCTGGAGGAGGGCTGCACCCCACGCACCCCAACTCTGCCTTGTTTTTGTCTTTTGTAGCATCACCCTGACACGGGCACCCCCGAGACTCAACCCGCTCAGTGTAAGTGCACGCTGCTTCGGACCGAGGCGCTGCGGCGAGCGATGGTCAGAGCCTCTGCGTAGGGAAGGAGAACCAAAATGCCAATTCTTCTTCAGGCTTCACGTTTCTTCTTCTCCTGGCAGAGGCCAATTGTCTGCCTGTCAATCCCCTGTGCCTTGTAGCAGTGACACTTGGGTGTATATGTTCACTTGTTGGCAGCGCACTGGGGGTGCTGGGAAGGGGGGAGGAATGATCAAGAAATTACCCAAAGAACAGGTCCCTGTGTATCCTCCCACCCTCAGTCCTGGAAGAGTTCCACTGAAGGAAGCTTCCCAGCCTTTGTGTTTCATAGCTCTGAGCATCCTGCAGTGGCAGAACTTAATTGACAAGCCTGACATGGCCGTTTTCATCCCAATAACCATTGCTCTCTTTCTCTGATACTGACACGCCTCTTCTTCCCCTGCAGCTCTCCCCGCTTGCAGAGTGGCTCAGGCAAGTCCTGGGGGATGCATACGTACCTGCCGTTAACGGTACGGCCGGGGCCTGAGCCCCCTCTTCTCTCAAACTCAGCCAGATTTGGGGCTCTCCCCCTTCCCTCACCGCCTGCATTCGGGGTTCCCCCCGTGACGAGATGTTTCCACTTGCTTTTGCAGACGCCTTGCGCATGTCGGTCCCTCTGCCCAACATTCTCAACATCAGCCTCAGGGACGCCAGGGTTGACATCACCGACGTAAGGATCACAGTTCCACAGCGCTGCCTTGCCGGGAGCCAGGGGACGAGCCCCACACCGCCCCGGCCAGCCCGTCTCCCCTGGGCTGCTCCCGGTTTCCAGGAGGTCCCTCTGCCTGCATGGACCCGCAGGAAAACCTCACCGGGGATATAGGTAAAAGCTAGTGAAAGTCTGAATGAGAAAACGGAATCGTTTTTGTGCTGCTTCTTCCAGACAGACAACTCTCCCGACCTAAAAAGTTCCTGCTCAGGAGGAGCCTCGACCCTGCTCACCATGTGAGGCAGCCGCCGCCGCGAGCCCCAGAGCCCTGCTCATCTCCGTGTCTCCATCTTCACCTTCTCTTGAGCGCTGCCCTGTGTCATCGCCGTGGCCCGAGGACGACAGGCGACCGTCTCTGGTCGGCCGGTCCCGGCGTAGCCCGGCATTGGGGTAGGTAAAGCTGCTCGGCTGGTGGATGTTAGGGAGGGTTTTCTGTGGCCAGTTTTAACATCCATAGTTGGGAAGCAGAGCTCTTCTTTAGGCTCTCGTATTGCTCTTTCAATAAAATCTTTCACTGCCTCAGTATTTCTCTCTCTAAATGTTTATTTGTTACGGGTTTCTGGCGGTGCCCCTATGCCACACGGCCCATGGAGAGGCAGCGCAGCCTGGAGAGGAGGCTGTACCTATAGAGGGAACAAGCCGGCACCTTACAGAAAGCATCTTTGAAGCTCAGCCTCACGTGGGAGCTGGGGTTTGGTGCACGTGGGTGCCCTGCTGCAGCCCATGCCCTGCCCGGCTGGAGCAGCGCTGGGTGCTGCTCCTGCCAGACTGTCGGGGCGCAGAGGAGGTGCTCGCAACGCAACGGCGGCGCAGATTTAGCAAAGTGCTTGCTGATATTTCCGACTCCTTTGAAGCCCTCATCGCAGCCGCTGCAGGGCAAGCAGCTCTGTGCCGGGGCTCGTTTGCAGCATGTCCCACATGGAGCCCAGCAGTGCTTGTTGTGCAAGGCTCTGTACGGAGCCAGGCACAGATAAATCGAGCTTACACCTCCGTACTGCTTTGTTTAGGAGCATATTATCCCCTTATTGTGTAAGATGCACTGGGTTGTTAGCATCACACTTTATCTCACAAAGGTATTGAGTGTTGAGAACACCAGGACAAAAGCGGCCTTATGGTCTGGAGCTGACGTGGGTCGGCGTCTCCCGCCGCACAGGGGCATTTCTGCAGAAATGCCGTCTGCCGGGAAGCGGCTGGCAGCTGCGGGGACGGGTGGGATGATCCTCAGGAACTGCTTCTCGGGTCGAGCACTAAAGGAGATAAACATCTCCCGGTGCTTTTCTGGAGCCTCCCCATGCGCTCACTGGAAACTTGAAAAATTACCCCGACACAGAACTTTGTGCAAGACAGCCTGCGTGCAAGTGTTAGCGGGGATTTGTCTGGAATCAGCTGATTTTCCAGCACGGCTCTTTCGGGGTCAGCGGCAGCTTCACGTGCTGCAGCCTGCAGCGTCTCGGGCTCCTTCTCCTTCGCCTTAGCTCCGGGCTCTTGGGTAACAGCGCTGGCTGATAACTGGGCATCCAATAACCTGTTGCTCAATGCTTTTCCCTGTTTTACAAATCTTTATTTGTATTGGAATATATTAAAACCACAAATGCTGCTTTATACACTCAATCCACTATCCCAGGTTTTACAATTTAGGCATCTTTCCACCGTTTCCGCATCAGCTTCGCTATATAAGGACCCACTGTTCCTACACGTTAAAGTAGAGGTGCCTATGGACAGCTGTAAGGTCTCCCCTTGACCAAGAGCTGAGCACTGAAGACCAAAGCCAGGCTTCAAAATTCGGGATAAGACCAGGTAAATACAGTCAAAATAGTGGTACGGGTGTTGTCAGCTTGGGTGGACAGAGCCACTGTTTCACCTTCGGGCCTTATAATATACTCTGGTGAGCAAGAAAAAAACATGGGAAAAGTACCAATAATGGTAGAAATGCAAGTAAGAAATTCTAGTTTATATTTAGTGACTAGCCTGAAAAAATTAGAAAAGAAGGTTGCTATAGTAAAATGAAAACACTTCTTTCAAGAAAAAACCATTCATTTGATACTAAAGTTAGGGATCTTTTGTGTTGCAATATCCTCTTGAAGTTGTTGTTATTATTTTTATCATTATAAGCTAAAACATGCCATTTGAATAAGGAAGGCTTTATTCCAAATGTGAGTTGCTTGTATAATTGCAGCCTTAATTTGCATGCCCCCTCACAGGGCGGTTATTAGCGAGGGGAGCTCAGTGTAGTCTATAGGTTATGAGAAAGGATTTCATACTGTAAGTTTAAAATTATGTCACGGCGACCAGGGGTGGAAAGGAGCAGGTTGCCCGGGGTGCCCATAAACAGGAATAAGCAAACAGGCGCTGGGGTTGTGCAGGAGCTGGCTTGAAAAAGTCCCTGCAGATGTGCCCACGGACGCCCTCCTTCTTCACCCCCATGTGCGTGTCCAGATCTGTTGGCCGAATGTGGCTCTAACTCGTGAACTCCTAAAGCTCATGTTCTCTATTCACTCGAAATACCCGGCCCCCCTTTGCCTCCAGGGGGTCGCCCAGCCTATTCCCACTCTTCTGCCTTTGTCCTTCCCAGGTCCTGCCAGCACCCACAGCGCTCCCAGCCGAGCAGAAGACACCATGCCACCGGCTCTGGGCATCGCCCTCTTGTATGCCCTGCTGACCCCGTCACTAAGCGAGCCCAAAGATGCCGTCCTCAGGCTCAATAAAGGTGTTTTAAGCGATGGTGAGTCACTCTGCCTCCTCTTAGCGGGACCCCGGGAAACAGGAGCCAAGGGTGGTCCTTGGGGGTTGGCGCCGTGGTACCAGCACAGCCCGATCAGCCGGGGAAGGGAGGGGAATTGCACGTGGAAGGGGAAGAACATGAGGCTTGCGTGTAAACCTCCCCCTCCAAACTGAACCTGGAGTCATTTTTTTGTAATTAATATTTCAGCTGGCCAGGCTCCGACAGGAGAAAGACATTGCTCCTGTGGGACTGCTCCTCCCGGGAGCCTGCACCTCTCGGAGGTGTGAGCCACCGCTGGGGAGGTGCAAGCCACACGGCGCCTCAATTATCTCACATTTAGGATTTATGAGTGCCCAACCCCTGCAACTGTGCCACACCATTTGCTGTCTTGCTGGCGCAGCTGCAGACAAATTCCCCCGAGCTTCTTTGCACAGGTCTTAACAAGGTGCCTCCTGCCCGGGATCCCAAAGCCCTTTTTCTGTTGTATCATACATGGGAAAAACTGACAGCGGACAGTTAGGGACCGGGATAGGCAGCGATGGTAATGGAGAGCACAAACCCCTCGACAACCCATGCTTGAGGAGCACGACGAGTAACGGTGTGGGCAGGG